TCTACCCTGACTCACTTCATTCAGCACGATACTCTCCATGTCCATCCATTTATAATAAAAGCAGATTTTATGACCCAAATTTTCCTGGCTGCTGTGTAGTATTCCATTTTGTAGATGTACCGTAGGTTTTTTTTAATCCAGTCATCTGTTCTTGCTTACTTGGATAGTTTCCAGATTCTGGCTGTTGTGAATAGTGCTACAATGAACATAAAAAGGCAGATGGCTTTTCTGAACTGTTTTTAGGCCCCTAGGGTATATTCCCAGGAGTGGTATTGCTGGGTCATAATTTCTAGTTTTTTGAGGAACTCCCATATTGTTTTCCAAAAAGGCTGGAGTTGTCAGCATTCCCACTAGTCGACTACTGGTGGGAAATGAGAGACCCTTTCTCCCGGCATCCGTACCAGCATTGATTGTATTTGTTCTTTTTTGATGTATTCCAGTCCCCATGGCATGAGATTATATCTCGTTGTTGTTTTGATTTGCATCTCCCTGATGATTAGTGATGTAGAGCATTTTTCCATGTGCCTTTTGGCCACCTTCTTTGAGGAAGTTTCTGTTCATTTCTTCTCCCCATTTTTTTTCCTTTTTGGGTCACACCCAGCAATGCTCAGGGATTACTCCTGACTCGTGCACTTACTCCTGACGGAGCTTGGGGACCTATGGGATGCTGGGAATCGAACCCGGGTTGGCCCCATGCAAGACAAATGCCCTACCCAATGTGCTATCGCTCTAGCCCCTCTCCTCCCCATTTTTTGATGAAGTTGTATGTTTTTTTCTTGTAAGGTTCTACCAATGCCTTTATTATATACCTTTGAAATTAACCCCTTATCAGATGGATGTTGGGTAAATATTTTTTTTTCATTCCAGGGCTGGAAAGATAGCACAGTGGGTAGGGCATTTGCCTTGTATGTGGCTGACCCGGCTTTGATTCCTCCGTCCCTCTCGGAGAGCCCGGCAAGCTACCGAGAGTATCCCACCCACACGGCAGAGCCTGGCAAGCTCCCTGTGGCGTATTTGATAATCCAAACACAGGAACAAGTCTCACAATGGAGACGTTACTGGTACCCGCTTGAGCAAATCAGTGAACAACGGGAGGACAGTGCTATAGTGCTTCATTCCAGGGGCTGTTTTTGTAACTTGGTCATCATTTCCTTTGAGATATAGAGTTTCTTAATTTAATGTAGTCCCATTTGTTTATATTTGTATCCACTTGCTTTCACCCTGCACTTTTTGTTTTGTGGCCACACCCAGTGGTGTTCAGGGGTTACTCCCAGTGCTTGAAAATTGCTCCCAGTGGTGATAGGGGGATAGGTGCAGGGGAATTGAACCCAAGCCCCTGGCATGCAAAGCATGTGCTCAACCATTTGAACTATTGCTCCAGCCCCTAGCACTTTTTGTTTTAAATTTTTTTTCTTTTGGGCCACACCCAGCCATGCTCGGGTGTTACTCCTGTTTCTGCACTCAGGAATTACTCCTGCTGGTGCCTGGGGACCACATGGGATGGCAGGATCACAACCGGGTTGGAAATATGCAAGCAAGTGCCCTACTCACTGTACTATTGCCCCAGACCTCCCACTTTTTCTTTTTAATTGTCTCCTCCTGCTACTTTCTTTTTTTTCTTTCTTTTTGGGCCACACCCGGCGATGCACAGGGGTTACTCCTGGATCGTGCACTCGGAAATTACTCCTGGCGGTGCTCAGGGGACCATATGGGATGCTGGAAATCGAGTCCGTGTCGGCCACGTGCAAGGCAAACGCCCTACCTACTGTGCTATTGCTCCAGCCCCTCCTCCTCCTACTTTCTTATTGTTGATACTACTGGGTGACTGAGAATTGCCACATGGCTGATGGGGGTGCTCACCCAATTTCTTAGTTGTGTTTTCCAGGGGTTGCACATCAGGTTGTGCTTGCACACTTGTCTGCTGTGCTCATTTAAGATTTTCACTCCTTCTGTTGCATTCCAGAGCCCACACACTAGTTGAGAACCACAAATTCTGGTAGGAGCATCTGATAAGGGGTTACACTTCCTGCCCCTGGTGCTTGCACATTTCTTTAGCTGGGGTGCTCACTGGGGTCTCCTCCAGTGATATGACAAGAAATCGCATTTTGGTGTGTGAGATCACAGATACAAGAGCTGCTAGGATCATGTTTTGTGCATGTGGGGCACTGGAGATTTGAGCTCATGACCATATACTTACAGGACAGGCATTCTAAACCACTGTGCTGTTTCTCTGGACCCTAGAACAAAGCTTTTTAATTTTAGAATTCCCAAATATTATAGAAAAGTTAGAAGGTAAAATATATTTACCGTGTTACCTACTTAGAAACAACCATATATATGTGTGTATATAATATAGTTTGTTTGGGGGAGGGGCACACTTAGGGTTTCTCCTGACTCTGCACTCAGGAATCACTCCTTGTGGTGCTTGGGAGACCATATGGGAGGCCAGGGATCGAACCAGGGTAAGCCACGTGCAAGGCAAGCACCTTACCCATTGTACTATTGTTCTGACCTGAGATAATCATATTTTGAATACCTTGGCAGATGTCTTTTCAACCTATCATAATAGTGTGTGTGTGTGTGTGTGTGTGTGTGTGTGTGTAGTTTTTGGTAGGAAATATTGCTTCTCATTTCAGTGGGATGTGGGGGTTGGGTACACGCAGTGGTGCTCAGGGCCACTCCTGATACTGAGGAGACCATGTGTTGCAGGGATCAAACCCAGGGCTTCTGTATGCAAAACATACATGCAATCCAGCCTTTTGAGTCATCTCCACAGGCCCTGCATTTAATTTTTATTCACAGTTTTTAATCAAGTGAAATTTAATTTAATCAGTCTTGAAGCCCGGCCATTTCTTTGGCAGCAGAGGAGCCAGATGTGGGTGGGTGGAGTACTGGGCCTCTAGAAGGGTAGGGATTTGGTACTGCTAAGGTTCCAGAGATCTGGGCCTCATGGTGGCATTTTTCTCAGATAAGTTGTGAAGCTGAGCAGTTTCTATGACGTTATATCTTATTATTGATAATAACCTTGTTAAGTTATTGTTTTTTGCCAGATTTCTTCATGTTAAGATACCCTATATACTTTTCTGTATTATTTAAAAATATTTAAGATGAAATACAGTAAAACTTTGCTTTTTTTTCTGTGCTCAGGGATTACTCCTGATTCTGCACTCAGGGAGCACTCCTGGCAGGGCTTGGGGGACCATACAGGTTCTGGGGATCATACCTGGGTCAGATATGTGCAAGGCAAGTGCCTTACCTGCTTTACTGTCACTTTGGCTCATCTGCTTTCCCTAAGTTTTAGGTACATCCATCTGCTTTCCCTAAGTTTTAGGTACATCCATGCTACAAATGGTAGGGTTTCATAGTTTTAACAGATGAATGGTAAATATAAGGTTTTTCCTAATTTCACAGAAAGGCACTTGAACTACAAAAAGTGGGTCACCTTAGGTCAGAAATCGGTCATTGGTAAAATTGAACATTGATGCATGACATCCTGGTACAGTGCCAAGTTCATTAAACTTCAGTGTAGCATAACCTTGCTACCATATTATCTTGGGTTTGTGACTGAATTTTATTTCAAAAACAAACTCATAGCAAGAAAAATATTGTACTAAGATAGATGGCTAGAACTTTTTCTTGGTTCAGCCCAAATTTTTTAGATGGCTAAAGATTTACTATGTAGAATTAATACCTGAAAAGAAAAAATTTTAAAACTTCCTGTAATATTTTGGACATATTTTGTTATTAGATTTTTTTAAGTTGAATTATTCTATAATATCAGCATTGAATGGGGCTGGAGAGATAGTATGAGTAAGGCTCTTGCTAAGCATGCTAACTACCTAGGTTTAAGCCCCAGGACTGCATATGGTTCCCCAAGTCCAACCAGGAGGATCTGTGAGCAAAGGCAGGAATAAGTCCAGAGCACCACTGGTGTGTCCCCAAAACAAAAATCAACATTGTAAACTTAATTTACAAGGTGGGATTTTTAGGCGTATCTATTTTTATTCATATTAGTTTCTATATTAAAACAAAAAGCAGTGCTTAGGGAACTCAGGGGCCACACCCAATGATACTCATCCTGGTGGTGTGGGACTGAAGTTTTCATGCTCAGGTTCTATGATGCAGTGCTATAAAGGCTCAGTGATACTGAGGGCCACCAGGGCTACCCCAGTGGTGTTTCGTGGTATTTAGGGATAAACCTGCAATGCACAGAGGGAGCACATGATGCTGGAATCAAACTCCAGACCTCACTCAAGCTCTTTGGGCTATCTCCTAGCCCAAATTCATTCCCAATTTTAATAGTAATGTAGGGGGGAAAGAAGGGATGGCATTTATAAAATAGAGATTTGATGGTACCTTTTATGAGGGTACACTTGAGGGTGCAGAAAGGAAAAAGGATGAGGCATATTTGGAGGTTGTCCGTATAGATGGTCCAGGAGTCATGATACTTTGTGGAAAGATAGTTCTGTGTCAATATATATAAATTAATTGAGTAGTCAAATAAATTGGAAAAAGTTTTCCTTTGTTTGGATTTGTTTTAGACTACCTCATTGAAGAACATCTATATTAGGCAAATGCTTGAGAGGATCATTTTTGAATTTTCTGCTCTCAGTTCTAAATTATCTTGCTTACTGGATTTGTGTCTGTTAAATAATGAATTGATCTATTTTAAAATACAAGAATATCAACTAGAGCTATTAAATCTGAAGATTTCAGGCATTGGGTATGACCTTGTGGAAAGGAACTGAAAATACAAATTGATTTAGCAAATATGAAAAATTGAAAACATGAGATTTAATGTCTTAACTCTATAACGTAATTCTAAATGATCAAGCAATTTGCTGATACATAGTCATTTCCAGTCATACTTTAGATTTTTTAGATAATCTTTTCATCAGAGAAAAGCCTTCTTGGCTCATCAGTTTAATAAACAATTCCAGAAACTCTGGTGCTTATCCAAACTTCTTATTCTATTTTGTTGCTATTTTTTTCTCGCATAGAAATGCTGTATACATTCCAATCTATACTGCCTGGATTCTCTGCAAAGCTGAATTGGACTTCAGAAGAAGTCGACCATTCTCAGAACACATCAGGGCCAGAATGCTTCCAGATGATTTTTGAGGTAGGTTTTGTGGTATAAATTACTGATGTATTGATTCTTATTTTTCTACAAATCTATTAACAGGAAAGAAAAGCCTGGGTACAACCTTATTTGAAATAAAGTAAGGCATTCATTCCCAAGTTTACATGTACAATTTTCACCTTTAGAACTTTCAAAATACCTATGTTTCTGTCCACTTCAAGAGGCTGATATTCAGTGTGTATGGACTGATCTCTTGTTGCCATTGGAGAAAAAGAAACAACACAAATTGGTAGCTTAAATAATACAAATTTGTTTTCTCATATTTCTTGAGACTAGAAGTTTAAGATGAAGGTGTCTTGTCACTCTTGCCTCCAATGGCTTTTCTTGTGTTTGTGTTGAGGGGGGAAGGAGGGAGGGAGGGACGGAAAGGGAGAGGGAGGGGGTGAGGGGAGGGGGAGAGAGAGTGAGAGAGAGAGAGAGAGAGATCTTTTTATTTCTTTATTTTGATATGTGGGGTGGGGTTGGAATAGGGACTATCCTGCAATGCCCGGGATCCACTTTCAGTGATACTTAACCAGGATGTAGGTTAGATGGTTTGGTGTTTGGGCCAGTGACGACAAACTATTTGGGCAAGTGATGCTAGGAGTCACCTGGGTAGTGCTCACCAGACCCACACGTGGTGGTGCTTGGGTTGGGGGACCATACAGTGCTTTGTGCTTCATGCAATAAAGGCATGTCCTTCACACCTTTGAGATGTCTCCTCTGCCCTTCCTTTTCTTATAAGGATACTGATCCTATGGGATAAGCGTCCTCCTCATGCCACCTCCTTTAATCTTCATTATGTCTTTAAGACCTATCTCCAAATGCAGTCACATGGAGTCTCAGGAAGTTATATGGCCTGGAGAGGACAAAATTTAGTTCAGAGCAGATATGGCCTGGGCTCTGGATTATTTTTTAAATTCCATATGATTCCTGATAGGCATACAAACTTGAAAACCCCAAATATGAAGCATTGCATTTAGATCTCCTGAAAAAGAACACAAAACAATTCTCTGATCTCTTATCTTTCCTTCCCTTGGCTTATTGGAGACACAAAGAATTAACATTCTTTAAACTTTCTCCCAGGAAACACTTGGGAAGCTTTTCTTCATGTTTAAATAATTGTATGCTCCTTCTAAAAGGAAGTGTACAGTACTGAGACTAAATATTTCTGGCTGTGCCTTATCTTCTTTAGGGAAATGAACAGTAAATAATATGAAGCAATTAGTGGTTAGTGATCTCTGAAACTATTCATGTCAAGTGGCAACTAAAAGTCAATTCTAGTGAACCATGGAAAGCAATTCTAGAAAACTTGATCATGTGTTTTAGCCAGTTTGAACAATGATAATTCTTTTACCTAACATGCTTTATTTAAAAAATGTGTAGTTGTTTTTAGGCCATACCCAGAAATGCTCAGATATCACTCCTGGCAGACCTTGGGGGATCATATTTGGTGCTGGAGATTAAACCTGGGTCAGCTGTGTGCAAGAATCTTCTCTCTCTGATCCTAACATTTATATTTTCGACTCCCATCAATTCCGTGAAGTAGATAGCACAAGGATCACCATCCCATTTTTTTAAATTTATTTTTAATTCAATTTTATTTTTATAAAGTTGTTCACAATAATTTATTACATTTAATAGTTGTACCAATCCCACCACCATTACACCTTCCCACCACCATATTTCAGTTGTTTCCACCCTGAACCCCAAACACTGCCCCCAAAGCAGAACCAAATAATTTTTTATTACTTGTTATTAATTAACCCACCAAAAATCCAAAAATGTTTCTTTTTTTTATGTAGGACTACTGCTATTTATTCAGCCACTGATTAGGCTGATTGAATTTTGCATGAATTCCACCATACTTTTTTTCCCCCATTTTTTATCATTTTATTTTTTGAATCACCATAGAGCAGTTACAAAGCTTTTGGGTTTAAGTCTTGGTCATACAATGAAACACCCATACCTTCACCAGTGCCCATTCTCCACCTCCAAAAACCCCAGTGTACCCCTATCCCACATCCTCCCCCTACGTGTGGGGCAGATGATTTCCAAATCACTCTCTTTATACTTTGATCACATTCAACATTTTGACACCACACCCACCATTATTATTTGGGATTTTACCCCAACACTCAGATCTGCCGAAAAGGCAACAGTAGACAATTTGTTTTCTATTGCTGGTTATGAATAATATATGATGTCGCATGGTTGCAGTAGTGGCTGCGCAGTTTTGAAATTCCGAAATTTTAACAATTAAATCTGGAGAGATTTCCTGCCAAAACCCTCTAGGTTTCGAGATCTGTTCCTGAGTCTCTGGGATCATGGCCATTAAGCAGCTTGATCAGGAGCCAGAGAGGCCATTTGTGGGCAGCGACTCGCAGTCTTGTTGTGGTGGGGAGGAAAGGGCCGGCTCTACCCCTGTCCCATGAGGCCCTGTGTGTCTCGTCACTGCGGGCCCAAACCTAACTGTCCAATGGTCTCTGGTGGATGGCGGCCGAGGCGCCAAGGGTAAACAGGCTAAGGCACAAAACCTGTTTCCACCTGGGGTGGCCCAGAGCCGGTAACCTACTCTGTGGCCCACACGCATTTCTGCCAAAAGCTTTTGGGTTTCGAGATTTGTTTCTGAGACTCTGGGATCATGGCTGTTAAGTAGCTTGATCAGGAGCCAGAGAGGCCGTTTGTGGGTGGTGACGCAGGGTCTCCTTGGGAAGGGGAGGAAAGGGCCGGCTCCACCCCCATCCTGTGAGGCCCCACATGTTCGTCACTGTGAGCCCAAACCTGACGTTCCAGTGGCCTCTGGAAGATGGTGGCCACCAGGCCGCCAAGGGGGAGCGGGCGGAAGGACAGCATCCTTTCCTCCCTGAGGTGGCTCAGCACCGGTAGCCTACTGCAAGGACCGGACGCATTTCTGCCAAAAGCCGTTGGGTTTCGAGATTTGTTTCTGAGTCTCTGGGATCATGGCCATTAAGCAGTTCAGTTAGGAACCAGAGAGGCCATGCCTCCAATTATATAGCTGAGCTGGAGGTGATTTGTTGGGTGTGTCCCCCACATACCTAACTTTTGGCCGTTTACTTTCTTGGAAAACTTTGCCCCAAGGCTTTAGGGTCTGACCAAAGGCACAGCAGCAATTTTGGGGTATCTAGAAGTCTGAAGGCGCCATGAGGCTGTTGATGCACTCTCCTCACAGCTACAGATTGACCTGCTGGCGGCACCATACCCCCCAAAAATGTTTCTTTAGAGGAAAGTGTGTGAAGATTGTTGTATTTCATCCTGATCATTAAGCCCTTCTACAAGAGATTACTAACATGTTGTTAAAGGTTGAGCCTTGTGTCCCCCTGAGATTGGTTACCTTCTACTTAAAACCGCATCAAATGTGGTGTACTACTCTTGGCACATTAGTGGTATAAAGTAGAAATGTTATCACCTGTTCCAGGAATTCAAAAATTTAAAATACGATTATACAGCAGATTCACTCTAAGACTGTGGAGAGTGGCCATCAGCATGGCAGCGATTGAGTTTTGGAGGATTTGGGCTTTCTGGAACTCACCACCCCCTCCAGTTTTCCCCAGGTGGGACAGCCTGGCGAGGGTCCAGAGAATCTCTGCGACATGTCATTCTATTGATGCTCTCTTCCAAGAGCTTTATTTCTGAGTCTCTGGATCATGGCTGTTAATGAGCTCAGATGGTGCCAGAGGCGGTCTGTGGGTGTGACTGCCAAGTTACCAGAAATACAGGAAGATGGAGGAAGGTTGCCCATTCCCGACTCTGTGTAAGCCTGGAAATTCAAGTCACAAGTCTTGCATACCTGGGTTTTTCTGCAGATTGACTTATGGGTGACCTTCCCATTTTATAGAGAAGAAAACAGATTCAGAGAATTTGACTTGCTCTTCCAAGGTCATATGAAAATTAAATGACATAAATAGTATTTGAATCAAAGCAATACATACTCAGTGCTGTTGTAATATTTATTCATTCAGAAACCTGTGTTTGTTCTATCAACCTCACTGAAGGTACAAAGTTCCAAGACACATTACTTGATCTTAAGGAGTTTGGAAACTAAATGAAAAGATAAGTAAATGGAAAAATAGTCCAGTAAACTGAATGTTGTGATAGCAAAGAGGAGGGGCACCAAACCCTAGGGGTCTGTCTAGAGGTTTAATGATACTGAGAAGCAAATTTTCTGTATGTAAACTATTAGGACTTGAAAGAATAGCGAATTGTATCAGAATGGTAAAATGTTCTCTTGCCTTTGTTTTTTCCTTATTACAAAAGCAGTATTTCTTTCAAGAAAATCAGTATGGATAGGAGAGAGAGAAAGACAGGGAGGGAGGGAGGGAAAGAGAGAATGAATATGGTTTAAGGTTGACAACAAAGGTTTGGGAATGGAGATATCCATGGAAAAGCTTTATGAATTGCTTTGGACATATGAAGAAAGGTAATCCCAGAAGACTGAGGAAAGTTCCTTTTAAGAGAGGTGCTCTTTTATATTTATGCTCAAAGCCACTCCTGTTTGGCGGGCTTATTAGGTTGAATAATGTGTTTCCCAAAATGAGTTTTTAAAATTTGGTGTAGGGCCGGAGAGATAGTACAGTGGGTAAGGTGCTTGCCTTGCATGCAGCCCACCTGGGTTCGATCCCTGGCATCCCATATGATCCCCTAAGCACCACCAGGAGTAATGCCTGAGCACCTCTGGGTGTGGCCCAAACCCAAAAACTTAATTTAATTTTTGTGTAAAAAATTCTTTATAACCAGACTACATCTTCCTCACAGAGCTATTTACTTTTATATTTATTTTGATATAATATTCATAAAATTGCAGAAATATACATATACACAAACATATGCATCTTTATTACTTGTTTCTGTTTCTCATCTGTTTAAAGGAAATAGAAGACGAGAAACTCAGCTCTGACGAAGATAGTCATATAAGATCTATTCATGTTTGGAAATAGAAAGTGGGTGTTGGGGGTGTGGTTCAGCAGTTGAATGCCTGCTTTGATTCCTGGCACCACAATGAAGAAAACGTTTTAAAATGCCAGGGAGATGGCTCAGATTGCTGGAGCACATGCTTTGCCTGTAGGGGACCCGGTTCAATACCTTGCACAACATGGTTCACGCGGTCTCCTAGCATCTCTGGGAATGACCCCCAAACACCATGCTGGGACTAACCCCCAGATACCACTGCTATGACCCCCAGAACAAACAAGAAAGCAGAAAGCACCTTTCATACTTTGTCACATAATTAGATTTGTATTTGAAGGCAAAGGAGGAAATTCAGTAGTGGCTTTTGTTGCTCAGGGCCAGCAGCATCTCCTCTGCCTAACAACACTTACACAAGTTTCTAACACCCAACTACAAACAGCTATAAAAGGCTTTCTTTATCAGGGTCGCTGTCTCTACCTCTTAATAATTTATAAGTACATTTCAAAAGAAGCTGTTTGCGTTGTGTAAGCTATATGACCTGATAACAGGATCTTTTACCTTCAGAGTCCGGCTTATGTGTGAATCCTTCTTGTGCATTTTATTAGATCTCTTATACATCTAGGTAATAAAACTTTTTACACTGTCATACAAATGATTTATTTGTCTTTCTTTTCTACTGAACTGTAAACTCTTCATATTAGGAATTTAATATTTTTCTTAGACCCAGGTACTTGATAAACCATGTTGTTTTATGAGTGAATAAATAATATACTCCTTGGAAAATAGTGATAAACATGATTCAGATAGCAGCAGGCACAGAAAATGCTGTGTAATGGAATGTGGGTTTTATATTAGACCTAGGTTTGCATTCATGTCTCCCACTTAAGTGGCTATGCGTAACCTTAGACAAATCAGTTAGCTTATTTAGTCTCCTTATCCTCCTTCAAGAAATACATTTCTGACATTCTGACGTTCATATAAATTGATTGGCATGTAATAAGCAATTATAAAATGGTAGCTCTCATTGTTATTAATTGTAGTCCCTTTCTGGAACTCTGTTCAAGGAACTCTCTTTTATTTGGTTGCCTTACTGCTAGATATAATTAGTAGTTTCTGTAATACACCCTATAATCACCAAGGTTTGAAATATATGAAGCTGTTCCAAGAAGTTGTTTTGGAAGTGTTAAATACTTTTTTATATTTTAAGAAAAAAGATATCATTGCTTTTCTACTATTAAATATTTTAAAATAAAAAATTTAAATGGGGGATAAGCCTATAATATATGTATGCTGCAGTTACTATTTAATTACCATTATTTACATGTATGAGTGAGTAATTCCTTGCTTGTTTGCAGAATTTTCTAATTATCCATCCATCTATTCATTTGTGCTTTGGGGTTGTTGGTGTGTACTTAGTCTCTTTGTTGTTCTAGGTTGATGAAAATCTCACAACTTTGGTGACAGGTAGACTGGTTATAAAGAATTTTTTACACAAAATCATTATGGTGCACCCTAAGGTAAGTTGTTTTTCTTTCCAATTTGGTGCTTTAAAGATCAGATAACTTGCAGAACCAGGATTTGAACAAATGCATCTGGCTCTAAAATCCCTTGTTACTGATATAGCCATCTAGAAAGAATAGTGTAGGTTGAATTTAGGTAAGTAGGAAAACAAGTAATGTGAATTGGGGGCAGAACATGAAAGTCACATTTGGGGCAAGGGAATAAAACTTTTGAAATGTTACGTTCTGGAAACAATGTGAAATAATAGAAAAATCAGTAGTCCTTTTAAGAATAGGGGAGGATGAAATAAAATTCCTGGTACTAATCTCGGCCATTCTTGGGTGTTAGTCTCCTATTTTGTTACTTTATGTTCCCCAGATGAATGCAATCTTTCTATGTCTATCCCTTTCTTTCTGAGTCATTTCACTTAATATGATACTTTCCATGTAGTACCACTTGTATGTAAATATCATGACTTCCTCTTTTATAACAGCTACATAATACTCCATAGTGTAAATGTACCAAAGTTTCTTTAGCCAGTCATCTGTTCTCCAGCACTCAGGTTTTTTCCAGATAGTCTACAACTATACCTCATGGTGTCTCACTAATTAAAAAAAAAATAGACTAGGGGAGGATGAAACCCAAGCACGAAAGTTTGTAAGTCTACACCTGTACCTCATGGTGTTTCACACACAAAAAAAAAAAAAAAAGAAAGAAAGAATAGGGAAAATAGGGGAGGAGATAAATTTGGGAGAGCAGCAATCTAATAATTGTGAAATTATTTTCTAATAATTTTTGAAAACTTGTAATTAAAGTATTAGGATTCAATATGTTGTTTTTGTTTGATTTGTTTTGGGCTGAAGTGATAGCACAGTGGGTAGGGCGTTTGCCTTGCACGCAGCCAACATGACCGACCGGAGTTCGATTCCTCCGCCCTTCTTGGCATATTCAATATGCCAAGTCTCACAATGGAGACGTTACTGGGCCTGCTCGAGAAAATCAATGAACAATTGGAGGACAGTGACAGTGATTTGTTTTATTTGGCAGGGCTGGAGTGATAGCACAGTGGTAGGGCGTTTGCCTTGTGCGCCGCCAGCCCGGCTAAGCCGGGTCCGATTCCTTCGCCCCTCTCAGAGAGCCTGGCAGGCTACCAAGAGTATTTTACCCGCACAGCAAAGCCTGGCAAACTATCTGTGACGTATTGAATATGCCAAACACAGTAACAACAAGTCTCATGACAGAGACATTACTGGGCCCGCTTGAGCAAATCGATGAACAACGGGAGAACAGTGCTACAGTGCTACAGTTTTATTTGGTGGGGGCACACTTGGAAGGACTCGGGGCCTCCTCTTGGCTTCGTGTTTGGGAAGAGTCACTCCTGGTAATGCGCAAAGGATCAAATCCAGTTTTCCGACATGCAAAGTGTGCTCTCTAGCTTATTGAACTGTCCACCCCAGGATTTAGTATAATGTAGCACTGTAACACTGTCCTCCCATTGATAATCGATTTGCTCGGCCCAGTAACATTGTGAGACTTGTTGTTACTGTGTTTGGCATATCAAATATGTCACGGGGAGCTTGCCAGGCTTTGCCATGTGGGCGAGATACTCTCAGTAGCTTGCCGGGGTTTCCGAGAGGGGCGGAGGAATCGAACTCAGGTTGGCCGGGTCAGCCGTGTGCAAGGCCTATCTACTGTGCTATCACTCCAGCCCAGTATAATGTATTGAACATTAAGAATTTGAACATGAAGAAGTGTTGATTATTTTAGGGAACGTGCAAGGTAGGGGAAAAGGTAATTAAAAATATATTCTCAAAGGGCCAAAGTGGTAGTACTGCAGGTAGGACGCTCACCTTACACGAGGCTGACCCAGGTTCAATCCTTGGCATCCCATATGGACCCCGAGCACTTCCAGGAGTAATTTCTGAGTGCAAATCCAGGAGTAACCCCTGAATATCACCAGGTGTGGGCCCTACCACCCCCAGAATAAAAAGAATATATTTTCCTTTAGTAGTTGATTATGGATTTTTTTTTTTCACTTTTGGGCTATACCCAGTGATGTTCAGGGCTTTGTCCTGACTCTGCATTCAGGGATCAACTCCAGGTAGTGTTCGAGGATCATATGTGGTACTTGGGATCTAACCTTGGTCAGCCACATTTAAGGCTAGAACCCTGTATGTTACAATGTCTCTCTGTCTGTGAATAGAGTTTTTAAAATTCCCTTTCCTGGTTCATCAAGTTCACACCCTGTTTGTTTTGCAGATTAGATTTAATTTCAATATAAATTTGAATGGAATCTTCTACAAAGAAATCTTTGAGTAAGTTTTTAAATCCAGGGGGTCTACAGTTTTACTCAGTCATTGTCCTGTTTTTCATTCACTGTCCTGTTTTAGTAGGTTCACGGTTGGATTTCTTGATCAAAAGTGACTTTGAAACAAATTTTCTGAGACCCCCCCCATTTTCATATTTTATAGTATCTTTGAATGAGTGAATAGGTCCATATATATACATTTCTAACTTTTCCATTTAACAAAAGTGGCTGAACTTTATGGTTGTCATTTCCCCTTGGGAAGTTAGTTACTGAATTCAAGCTTTCTTTGGAAGTAATAGTAGTTATGGGACAGAATTTGTAATAAATAGATATTGGCTTTAGGACCATTGAGATCTGACTCTGTTTTTCCTTGTTTTGCAGAGCAGAGAATGAACCTACTTTGAACCTGTCAGATGGAATGGCCCTTGTTGTGAGCTCTCAGCACTATGTGAGGTGAATGGAAAAGCATGGTGGACTCTGTGCCTGAGGGTGAATGTGGGTAGAAATTGAAAATGTCTCACTCCTCACTAGTGCCAGCTGTCAGAGTCTCTGTCAAAGTAGAACTTCGAAGTAATACTTTCTTTGTACTGGGAACGTACTCTTCCTGGCTTTGAGAATTTACTCTGCGGGAGGTCTTCCAAGTAGTGCTCAGGGGGACTGGGCCCTCTCGGCAATACTTGGCCAGCCAGCCTAGATGCTTAGAGCTATGTCTCAGCGGGTTGGAGCCTCCAGAGCTCTACTGACCCAGGGACCACTGTGGCTGCCCACCTAGTGGTGATTGGGGGCCGGGCAGTTCCAAGGCCCGAATGCTGGGTCCTGCTCACGCAAGGTATGCACCTCTGACCTCTGCTCATCTCTCTGTACATCTCTCTAGCTGAAAACATACCATTTTTTTTTCTGTAGAATTTTTTTTTGTTTTTGGCTTTCTGAGTCACACCCAGTGATGCACGGGAGTTACTCCTGGTTCATGCACTCAGGAATTACTCCTGGTGGTGCTCGGGGGACCCTATGGGATGCTGGGAATCGAACCTAGGTCAGCTGCGCGTAAGGCAAACGCCCTACCTGCTGTGCTATTGCTCCAGCCCCTTTCTGTAGACTTTTAATTCTCTACTTTGGACTGGAAACAAAATCTTCACCTCATACTATGTGTGTGCGTGTGTGTGTGTGTGTGTGTGTGTGTGTGTGTGTGTGTGTGGTGGGCAGGGGTTGTGGATTGAACTCAGAGCCTCACACAACTGCTATAATGCTGAGCCACATCCCTGGCCTCCCCTCAGATATTTTTTTTGTTGTTTTGTTTTGGGGCCATATCCATCCGTATTCAGGGCATACCGCTGGCTATGCTCTCAGGGATCACTCCTTATGGACTCAGGGGACCATATGGGGTGTTGGGGATTGAACCTCGTCAGCTGCACATGAGGCAAATGCCCCACCCACTGTACTATCTCACCAGAGCCACTCCTCCACCCCATATATTTCTTAAGTAATATTGTAGTATCATGTAATACATGCATGGAGACAGATCATTATCATAGGTTTACTGACTGAGTATAGGCCCATGAGCCAGGACTTGTGGGCAGATTTCCCTGGGCAACTGATTAGAAAGAGCGTGGCTGGTTCATTAATATTTCATTTACATTTAGAAAAGACATGTTGTAAACCTTCACGAGATTCTTTATAGTAGAAAAAGATGTCAGCTTTTTTTCATGACTCCCTAGACCTCTTCAGGGTAAGGTGTTGCATATGTGAGGGAAGACAGGTAAGTCCCACAAGGACAGTTTTGGGTCTTTTGTGAACCAGGACCTCCCTGAACCCCATAATGCTGATGTTTGAATGTTCTTGGAAACTTTGTTCAGAACCATAGAGGACTTGGGGTTTTGTTTAGATTTTATTTGGGGGCCACACCTGGTGATGCTCAGGGTTTACTCCTGGCTCTGCACTCAGGAATTATTCCTGGCAATACTCAGGAGAATCATGGGGTGTCAGGGATTCAACCCGGGTGGGCCACATGAAAGGCCAAAGCCTTACGTGCTGCACTGTCTCTCCAGCCTGAGACCCTTAAGAGTTATATTAGTGGGGAAAATAAACCTCTAAAATATATGACAGCGGAGCTGGAGCTATAGCATAGCGGGTAGGGCATTTGCCTTGTACTCAGCCAACTCAGAATCGATTCCCAGCATCCCATATGGTCCCCCAAGCACTGCCAGGGGTAATTCCTGAGTTCATGAACCAGGAGTAACCCCTGTGCATCGCCAGGTGTAGCCCAAAAAGCCAAATATATATATATATATATGGCATCAAAAGAGGGGAGCTAAGATGCCATTCCTGAAGTGCCCTTTGTCTGCTCTTTGTATTGCTTGTCATTTTCTGAATGCAACACATGTTGCTTATTTAAAAAAAAACTGATATGGCAAGTTATCTGGTGATACATATGTTAAAGATTGTAAAAGGAATTTTAAAAATTTAAAAAATTTAAGATGGGGAAGAAAGGCTAAATTTGTCTTCCTGTTTTTGGACAGTATACCAAAATTTGGTACAACAAAATTACTCTGCAGTAGAATCCATCCTGTGCTAGGACATCCAGTAATGCTTTTCATCCCTGATGACGTGGCTGAGAAGAGGTTTCTGGAAGAGCTGATATTGACTCCAGCTGCTGCTCTGTGTCCCTGTCCAAAGGCCTTTTCTAACCAGCTGAGTGGAATTTCTTCAGTTTCTATATCCTTTTTTGTGACAGAATTCATCTAATTGTCTTTGAAATGGATTTTTACGTCAGTACTAGAAGCCTTTAGCGTATAAACTGTCTAGAAACAGGCATGACTTGTATAAAAATAAAAATCAAGCATGAGTGTTTTTTTATAAAATGACAACTGTAGGGCCAGAAAGATAGCACAGGTGTTGAAGCACATGCCTTGCATGATCTCTGGCACCATGTGGTCCCCCAGAATTGCTGGGTACAGTACTGGAGGCCTTTGAAACTGCTGGTGTGGCACTACAGGCCTCTGCTGACTGTCAGAGTGGCCCACGTAACCTCTGGGACCCCAGGCCCAAGCAGCATCATATCTTTGGGCCCTTCCTTGTATTGAACCCCTGGCCCGGTTGGCTAAGAATTTCCAGATTGGGGTCCCTAGGACTCCTAAGCCTAGGAAGAGCCACCCCTAAAAACCTGAAAAAAATACTTTGGAAACTATACAGTGTGCCATATGCCATGCACTTTCCTTATGATCCAACTTGTCTAAAGCATAGGATGAATGGTGCCAGGGGGAGACGAGGCTGGAACAGTAGTTTGGCATTAAATGTAGTGGATCTTTAGCACCACACTAAGGAGTGTGAACTTTCTTCTCTGCATATGGAAAGCCATGGAATGTTTTATTTTCTCACAGTATTTATTATACAGGGTGACTGGGAGAGAGAAGTTGGTAAGTTTATTGTTTATCAATAAGCAAACGAGTAAGTAAACTGGGTCAGAGAAAATGAGAGCCTGAGGTGAAAGCAATGATCATGGAAAGAAGAGGCTTCTGGGAGAAATCAGTATGATGCGGGAGGTAGTTCATTATTTTAGGATTGAAGGTATCAGAGTAAATGAGGTATAAGAGGGTAGAAGGAACAAGAGTAGCAGAAGGGTCAAAGAGTCAAGGTCATACGATGATAAACATCAGCTAAGACCATCTTTCAGGGATGAGAAAGGAGCAGAATGTTGAAAAAGTCTCTGCGCGGACATTATTTTGTATTTAAAAACATGCCTTTTCTTTTGTTTTTCTGGGTTTTGACCACACTGAGCAGTACTTAGGGATTACTCCTGGCTCCGTGCTCAGGAATCACTCCCGGCTCTGTGTTCATGGATCACTCCTGATAGTGCTCAGGAAATCATATGAGGTGCTGGAAATTAAACCTAAGTTGACCACATGCAAGCTCTTTACCCACTGTGCTATTTCTCTGGGCCAAAACATGGCAGTTTTTTCCATTTTTGGTTTTTGGGTCACACCCAGCAGTGCTTAGGGCTTACTCCTGTCTTTGTTCTCGGGGATCATTCCTGGCGGGCTCAGGGATTGAATTTAGGCCAACTATGTGCAAGGCAAGAGCCCTACCTGCTGTACTATCTCTCTAGTCTCAAACATGTCTTTTCTTAATTTATAGGTCATAATGAAGAGTATAACGTAAAATATGAGTTTCTTTCTGCTTGTTCAGTTTCTTCCTGCTTCTGTTCACCACAGAGAATAAGACAAATTTTCCATCCTCTTTTTTAATTTTTCCTAGATAATTTTAGTTGGAAAATTTGATAAATAAGTAGGTATGAGGTGGTTATTGATGCAGTGAAGATAAAAAATAAGCAAATAAAGAGAGGGAATAATGAGTCCCCCAATCATTTCATGGCCATCAGAGTATCTGGTAGGTGATGCAGACCCTCAGTGAAGAACTCACTGTCTTTCTCCTGGGGTTGTGGGGACAGTTGCAGGGCAGCCATTACAGAGGCAAAAAAGGGGGTGCCGTGAGATGAAGTTCCTGCCATCCACAGGGTTGCAGGGACCCATGTGGTCCCCTCTAGGGAGCTTCTGGGGAGAAGCCTGTAGGGAATGCAGAAGGGGGTATCTTCACTTAATACCAGGGCTAGGTCCGCTGCCTCTCTGCCCAATCTGATTTCAGACAACTTTTGGATGAATGTCCACTTAATTCCTTGGTAAAAGAAAAGGGGGAAAAATTCTGGGCTCCACAAAGACTCTAGGGAAGCGATGTCTTAGTGGAGGGATTAGCCAGCTATGAAAACTCTGGTGAGATTTCAGTTCCTGAAAGTGAAAAATTAGACAATTTATACAAGGCCTCCTCTTTAAGACAAAGGTTGGATGAAGTATTGCCCTAGTGGTCCCTGGGCTTAGGGCACCACAGCACTGACCCACATGATAGGTCAAGTGGCTCCTGGGCACTCTCTGGTCCTTGCACTGCCTGGTCAGCTGAGAATCACGAGAACCTCCTGAGCATTGCTTGGGAGGTCACCCCCACTGTATATACAAATAACAACAGTCTACATTTCTTCAGGTGGAAGGGAAATGAGACGATAGTAGAAAGACCAAGAGTGGGTAAATAAAAGTGAAATAGAAGCATATTACTGAAAGATTCTCATACTATATATGTGTGAACTGTTAGAATATCCTTTGGAAGTAGACTGGTAAATTAAAACAACTCCCAAGTTAACACAACAAAGAATTACAACTAACAAACCAGATGTGGGAGTAAAATTAAATATAAAATATACCCAATCTGAAATAGAATCTAAAAGTAGAAAAGAAGGAAAGGAATCATGAAAAAGATTAACACAAGGAACAAATGGAAATAAACGAAGTAGAGTAAAACCCAACCATAGCAGTAAGAAAAAATAACATTGCATTTAGACTCTTTAGATAGTTCACTCTTAACAGGAGCTGGTGGTGCAGCAGGTAAGGAGATTACCTTGCATGTGTCTGACCTAAGTTTGATCTCTGGCACCCCATATGGTCCCTCGTACCCACCAGAAGTAATCCCTGGGTGCAGAGCCAGTAATAAATAACCCCTGAGCATAGTGGGTTGTGCCATGACCCACTAAGAACAATACTAGATACTGCAATCTTAGATTCTGAGTTTGCAGCCTCTGAAAATTCCCCTGGCTCTGATGTGTTGCCTTAGCACCTGTATTAAGTAATGCCTACTTGGATCTATGATGGAGACTTCACTCATGGACTCTCTGATCCTCTTTGTTTTGCTGTTACTTTCCATAATGGACCAAAGCCTTTTGGGTGAGAATTTTTTTTTTTTTTTTGCTTTTTGGGTCACACCCGGCAATGCACAGGAGTTACTCCTGGCTCTGCACTCAGGAGTTACTCCCGGTGGTGCTCAGGGGACCATATGGGATGCTGGGAATCGAACCCGGGTTGGCTGCGTGTGTGCAAGGCAAACGCCCTACCTGCTGTGCTATCTCTCCAGCCCTGGGTGAGGATTTTTGATCTTCACGATTAATGCCTCAAATTTACCCTATTAAAAATAGGATGAAAGGGCCAGGGATGTGGCTTAATCGTAAAGTGCATGGCTTTCTTGCATGATACCTGCCAGGGTTAGATCCCTTGCACCACAAGCAAATAAATAAATAAAACCCAGGGAGATAATTTAAAGAGCTGGAGTGTATGCATGCTAAAAACCTGGGTTTGATCCTTGGTACCACATGGTTTCTACAGGTTCCCGAGAACCACCCCCTGGATTAAAAAAGGAGGAAAAACAGTAGATAAAAATATACTGTGATTGGGGGGCTGAAGTGATAGCACAGAGGGTAGGGCATTTGCCCTGCACGCGGCCAACCGGGGTTCAATTCCCAGCCTCCCATATGGCCCTCTGAGCACCGCCAGGAGTCATTCCTGAGTGCAGAGCCAGGAGTAACCCCTGAGCATCGCCGGGTGTGACCCCTCCCCCCCAAAAAAAAGTATACTGTGATCTTGGGACTGGAGTGATAGTTCAGCAAGTATGGCTCATACCTTGCACAGGACTTACCCAGGTTTGATCCCTGGCGACTATATGGTCCCCCAAGCCCTTCAAAAGTGATCCCTGAGCACAGAGCTGGAAGGAAGTCTTGAGAACCACTGGTGTGACCCAAAACATTATTATCTCTTTAGCTCTGGTTAGGGGATAGGAATGATTAGGCCATAGCCTTTATTTGTTTGTTTTGGCGCCACACCCATCAGTGCTCAGGTGCTGTATGTGGTGCTGGAGATCAAATTTGGGTCAGCCCTGTGCAAAACAAGTGCCCTACCCACTGTACTATCTCTCTTGCCCCTAGGCCATGGTTTTAAACTGAGTCACTGTTACCTCGAAGCTGTTTTAGCTGTGTCTGAAACTCTCAGTTATGTGATGGGAGGGAGGATATAATTGTCATCTGGCAGGCAGAGAGCAGGGGTGCTGCTAAGCATCCTACAATGTGTGCAGGACAACCTCTCACAAAGAATTCTCTGGCCCAAGTGTCAGCATTGTCAAGAGGAGAAACCTGGGGTGATAGGGAGAATGAGAAGTAACAGAAGTCAAGAGAAGGCGACCATTCCAGGACCCAGCTCTCCTTGGTCTTGGTCAGAGAATAGGGTTAGAAAAGGTGAGGAAAAAGTGTTCTCTATCGAAATAGACCCAAGTACTTACTGGAAGATATACCTCTAAAACCCATTACATTGGCAGTTCAGAGATAATATAGGAGGTAAGACACTTGCCTTGCGTGCAGCCACTTGGGCTGCCACCCTGGTTCAATGTCCAGTACCACATACGGTCCCCTGAACCTGCCAGAAGTGATCGCTGAGTACAAGCCAGGAGTAAGCACAGCCATGTGTGGCCCCCAAAGCTAATAAAGCATGCTATACTGTAGTGCAGTCAACTGGCTTTTCTATGAGTCTCCTGTACAAATGGTAACACTTGAAGGTAGGTATTAACTTGGAATATTCATTGTATCCCCAGAATTGAGTACAGCGTTTAGCCTATGGCTAAATGGGTAGGCTAAATTCAGATCTGTGGCTGAATGGGTAGGCTAATAAATAAATGAATTCTCCAGTACAATACATAGAGTCCACATGGTAAACCCAGAATAAGATTCTGCGGGTTCTAATGGATCTGTCTTTGGTGCCTGACAATATCCTCAGTGTGGTAAAGGCTTAATATGTAATTGCCTAGCTCACAAGATTTTTTCTAGGAGAGTGAACCAGGTCATAACAGTGTTATGTGTAAAGGAATATATACTTATAAGAAACTAGAAATTGTTGGTTTTCTTTAATAGCACTACATATTTCTGTATGGACCTTCAGGCCTTCCTCTGATACTGCCAAGTCAGGAGCAGACAGCTACTACTGTCTTCAGAGATGCCTCTTATTTCATTGACTGGAAGAAGTACCATTTGTGTATGGTGCCAAATTTGGACTGCAACTTGGACAGAGGTATGTATGTCTTCCCTTCCTTCCCCTTCCCCCTTCTCTTCCATCTTCCTCTCTCTTCCCTCCCTCTTTTTCCTCTTTTACACATTTTTCTATCCTTTTCCGTCTTCTTGTTCTTCCTTCTCTGTATACACACATGAATAAACCTGGATAACAGTAGAGCAATGCAGGGAAATATAAGTGGAAACTGTGTATGAATTTGAGTCCCAGACATTCTATGGCTTAGGTTGGAGATTGGAAGCAGGGTCTGGCCAAGCTTAAGGATCTATGAAGAATTAGACCAACAGGTGTCAACAGGCTACACACTGTTGCTGAGTTTCCTTTCTCTCTCTCTCTCTACTGTCCTGGTGTTCTTAGAATAGTCACTTGTATTCTAGGAACTGGGTCAGTGGGTTTCTGTTGTACCTGAAACTGTCAACTTGGGTTGTTTTTCTTCCCATTGGGAGGGACCCATACCTCGTGTGCTCCAGATCTACTCACAATTTGGTGCTTGAAGCTCACTTTTTTTTTTTTTGCTTTTTGGGTCACACCCGGGGATGCACAGGGGTTACTCCTAGCTCTGCGCTCAGGAATTACCCCTGGCAGTGCTCAGGGGACCATATGGGATGCTGGGAATCAAACCCGGGTCTGCCGCATACAAGGCAAACGCTCTACCCACTGTGCTATTGCTCCAGCCTCCTTGAAGCTCACTTTTGGCAGTGCTTCAGAGACCATGCAATGCTAGGAATCAAACCTGGGGCTGCAACATACAAAGACTGCATAGCTGTTAGAGCTATCATCCCAGCCCCTGACTTGAGCTTTACAAAGCTCAGTAAGCTAGCAGTGACATCATTTTGAAAGTGCTATTGTGAAAGAAAAATTTTTTCTAATGAAATGATAAAATTCGTGTGACTCACTTAGAATAAATTAAAACACCACATAAATGTAAGGCTGGCATATAAGCCATATAGTAATAACCCCAGGCAGAGGACTGTGGTGTTCGGGTTGAGCATAAAGTTTTATCAGTGTCAGATGAATTATGACGGAAGTTGGATGTCTTATCATGCTCAACAAATATAGGCATGGTAAGACTAGAAATGAGGGGTTCTCAGGAAGTTAATCATCTTGAGCCTATTGTTTGCTTGAGCCCTTTGAAATGTAATGTAATTTATTTAAAAATTTGTGTTTAGTCACCGTGGATTACAAAATTATTCATGATTGGATTCTAGGAAAACAGTGTTACAATACCAATCCCATCCATCACCGGTGTCCACTTTCCTCCACCAGTGCCTCCTGTTTTCCCCCCGCCCACCAGCCTGCCTCTATGACGGGCACTTTTTTTTTTAAACTTTTGGCACTGTGGTTTGCTGTTACTGATGGTGTTTCATACATACGCTTTACCACCTTTCAGCACCCCCTTCTCCTCCTGGTTTACCACTTCCTTCCACTATATGTAGTGTTCTCTTCCCTGTCATATTCCCACTCCACTCCCCACCCCCTAACCCCACATCCTACTGAAGACCAGTCTCATGTTCTTTGTTTCTATTGCCTTTGGGTATTTGTTATTTGCCCTATTATTTTTTTTATATTCCACATGTAATTGAGGCCATTCTGTGCCACTCTCTCCCTCTGACTAACTTCACCTTGTATGATAGTCTCCAGTTCCATCTATGTAGCAGCCAATTGCATCTTTTCCTTTCCTTTCCTTTCCTTTCTTTTCCTTTCCTTTCCTTTCCTTTCCTTTCCTTTCCTTTCCTTTCCTTTCCTTTCCTTTCCTTTCCTTTCCTTTTCTCACTGTGGTTTACGAAGTCCTTCATAATACAGTTGTTATGGTCACTCATTGTTCCAATGCCACTCCCACCACCAGGTCTTCCACCATTGTCCCCATTTTCCCAACCACTCCCCTTAGCAGACACACAATTTATTTTTTACTGTTTTTTACAACTAAATGGCTCACAATCACGATCATCCTGTTGTTCATCAATTGCCTCGAGCAGGCACCAGTAACGTCTCCTTCATCCTAGTCCTGAGATTTAAAAAAGTGCTATATTCAAAGCTCTTTCAGGGTTGGGAGAATGAGACCCATCATTGGTACTGGTATTTGGCATATTGGGTACACCACGGGGAGTTTGCCAGGCTCTGCCGTGTGGGCAGGTTACATTCGGCAGCCTGCCAGGTTGTCCAAAGTAAGAATGAGATAATAAGATGTCGTGGCTGCACGCTTCCAGGAGCTGGGTTTTATAGTCTCTGGGTCTTGACTGTTGATGGGATTACACGGCGCTGGGGGTCAGTTGGTGGGTGTGACCCCTGCCTACTGGAAGATGGAGAATCTGGGTGGAGGATGCTCAGCCCCGATCTGAGCAGGCTTGAAGATATCAGCCCCGGAACCCACATGCCTTTGTTCCTCTGCCCGTACCTTCATGCATGTGGAGAGTGGTCTCAGCATGGTTGTGGCTGGTTCTGGATGGCTAATGAAATTATCAAAAATACTTCAGTATAAAAAAATTTGTGAAAATTGTTATCTTCCTACAGGGTCTGAGGATTTACTAAGGTGTTTGTTGCTAGTTGAGTCTTCGGTGTTATTATTTTTGTTGAGCTTTGTTGTCATCTACATTATTTTCCCATCTAATGTGCACTCCTCCTGGGATGTCGGTATTGTGGAAATTGGGGGTATGAAAACTTCAGTTTTTGTAAACTAGGCAGATGGATGAGTTGACATGGCTCTGAGCTGTGGGTGCAGCTTCTGGGGGCTCTGGAAGTGTGGGGTGGGTGTGGGGAGGAAGCTGCCTGCCCCTACTTTCAGAAGACCCCGGAGTTCTCCATCTGAGAATTGGTAGACCTGGAATTTTCGCAGTTTGGTGTCTCTGCAGGGATTAATCGTGAGGTAGTGGAGTTGGACTGTTGGGTGGAGGCAGCCGTGGGTTGTGAGTGCTGCTGCCAGCACTTTGGCAGGGTGGGGACTCAGCCAGCCTCCCCTCCTGAGGGTGCCCCTGAGTTTTCAGCCCAAAGTTCGATGTATCCGTGAATTTTAGTGACTTGTCTTGCATCTTTTTGGAGACTTAGTTGTGAATCAGTAGAGCAGGGTTGGTGGGTAAGTTGACATGTGAGGTCATGATTTTATTTTTTCTTCCAGCTGAGTAATATTCTATTGTATATATCAACCATAATTTCTTAATCCAGCCATTTGTTCTTGGGCGCTTAGGTTGTTTCCAGATTTGGACTATTGAGAATAATGCTATAATGAACACAGGGGTGCAGATATCTTTTCTCTGTTATGTATTATGGGCCTTTGGAGGGTATATTCCAAGTAGAATTTCAATTCCAAGTACAGTCCATACTGTTTTCCAGAAAGGATGAACCAGTCAACATTCCCACCAGCAGTGAATGAGAGACCCTTTTCCCTCACATCCATACACTGGTTGTTTTTGTTCATTTTGATGTGTGCCAATCTCTGTGGTGTGAGGTGTTACCTTGTTATTTTGATTTGCATCTCTTTGATGGGTAGTGATGACGAGTATTTTTTTCATATCCCTTTCGGCCATTTGTATTTCATTTTTGTGGAAGCTTTTGCTCATCTTTTCTCCCCATTTTAATTGGGTTGAATTTTTTTAATAGTTCTACCAGTGCTTTATATATCTTGGATATTAACCCTTTATCAGATGAGTGCTGGGTAAATAATTTCTTCCAATCTGTGGACATCTTTGTAATTTGGTCACTGCTTCCTTTGAAATGCAGAAGCTTCTTAATTTAATGTAGTCCTGTTTGTTTATCTTTGTTTCTGTTTGCTTGGCCATTGGTGTTACCCACTGAAAAGTACTTCTAGCTTCAATGTCAATGAAGAGTTCTGCCTATGTTTTCCTCAGTGTAATTTATGGAGTCAGGTCTAATATCGAGGCCTTTAATCCATTTGGATTTGACTTTTGTGCGTGGTGTTAGAAAGGAGTCTGAGTTCACTTTTTTTGTGCGTGACTAACCAGTTTTCCCAGAATCACTGTTTCCTTGCTCCACTTCATATTTTTTGCTTCATTATCAAAGATTAGCTGTTCATATTTTTTGTTCATTACCAAAGATTAGCTGTTCATGTGCCTGAGGATCTGTCTGTTCCTGAATTTTCAATTCTATTCCATTGATCTGAGAATCTGTCCTTACTCCAGTACCACGCTGCTTTAATGACTACAGTGTAGCCATTTGAAATTTAGACAACAGTCTGGTCATTTGGGTTCTGAGGAAGATGGTCAGTAGGGAAGAGATCCAAAAGGGCTGAGAGTGGGATGAGATGTGGCTTTTTGAAGGAGTGATTGCCACCTTACCTAGGAAGTAAGATGTAGGAAAGGCTCAGCTTTCTTTTGGAGTTGGGGGGCACTTTTTGGGTCATACCCAATGATGCTGAAGGGTTATTCCTGGTCCTGCACTCAGGAATCACTCCTGGCAGTGTTCTGGGAACCTTATGGAATCTCAGGGATTGAATTCAGGTCAGCTGCGTGCAAAGCAAATGTTCTACCCACTGTACTGTCGCTCTGCCCCCCAAGGCTCAGCTTTCTTGAGTAGTGATTGTTCTAGAAGGAGTAATAAAAGGAGGGGCATCCTGGGACAATATCTTTGGAGGTGTTTATTTTGTTTTGTTTGATATGCCAAGGATGAAGATGTTTTAATAAGAAAGAATGTGTCTTTTTATTTGTTTGTTTGGGGGCCACACCCAGGAATGCTCAAGGGCTACTTCTAGGTCTGCTCTCAGAATTACTCTTGGTGGTACTCAAGGGAACATATTGGGTGCCGGGGATTGAGCCTGGGTTGGCCTTGGTAAGGCAAGCATCCTGCCTGCTATACTATCTCTCCAATATCATGCCTCCAAATTATTTTATATACAGGGTCCTACCCTCCCTTCTTTGTTTGGTTTTGTTTTTGCCTTTTGGGTGATACATAGGGGTTACTCATGGCAGTGCTGGTGCTCGGAGGACCATATCACAAATCACAATCACAAATCATCCTGTTATTTGTCGATTGCCTCGAGCAGGCCCCAGTAATGTCTCCTTCATCCTAGCCCTGAGATTATATTCAAGGCTCTTTAGGAGAATGAGACCCAGCATTGTTACTGGTATTTGGCATATTGGGTACGCCACGGGGAGTTTGCCAGACTCTGCCGTGTGGGCAGCCTACATTCGGTAAACTGCCAGTTTGTCCAAAGTAGGAATGAGATAATAAGATGTCATAATAAGATGTCGCGCGGCCGCGAATCGCGCGGTTCTAGGAGCTGGTTTTTATAGTCTCTGAGTCTTGGCCGTTGATGGGATTACACGGCCACCAGGGGGCCAGTTGGTGGGTGTGACCCCCGCCTACTGGAATTTGGAGGATCTGGTGGAGGATGCTCGGCCCCAATCCGAGTAGGCTTGGAGATCTCGGCCCCGGAACCCGCGTGACTTTGTCCCTCTGCCAGTACCTTCATGTGTGCGGAGAGTGGTCTCAGCATGGTGGTGGCTGGTCCTGGAGGTCTTTGGCTGCTGGAGCCCTGGTCGGGGTGGGGAGGAAAGCTCAACCCACTCCCCTCCAAGGGGTCCCGGCGAGCGAGGACAGTCAGGTGCGGGGGCAGGAGACTGCACTGTTGTCTTCCGGGAGCTGGTTTTTATAGGAGGTTTTTATAGGAGGACCATATGGATGCTGGGAATCGAACCCAGGTCAGGCGTGTGCAAGGCAAATGCCCTACCTGCTGTGCTATCACTCCAACCCCCACCATCCCTTCTTCCATCCCTTTCTCTCTCCCCTTTCCTCCTTCCCTCCATCCATCTTCTTACCTTCCTCCTGCCTGCCATTTGAGCCATCTCTTTAGCCCTCTTTTTATTTTCTTTTATGATCTCCTTCCATTTTGTTCAGTTCTTAATGTCTACGTTTTCCTAGTTACCTTTAAAAATGAGTACTGTAGAAAATGTGTCATCATCTTCATCTTTATTGCTTTAAAAGACATCACTCAGATCTATATGTAGGTATATCTCTGCATGGACCTGGGTGGAATTTAGGATTATCCTGCTTATAATGTAAAGGACAATAGTGCTAGAAAGTGACATTAGATTACTGTGATTACTAATATCGTATGGCACTATGCTTAGAGAATATTTTGGAATCAGTGTAGTATCAGAGAGAAAAGAGAGGGAGAGGAGAATAAAAAATAAACCCAATATTTAGTATATGACAGGAATTTAGTATTGTACCTGGCACAGGGTAAGCATTTGATATACATTAACTGTTATCATTGCCACTTTCCCTCTTACTCATGATAACTATCTTAGAAAGTTGCATAAAGAATGAATAAATTTATTGTATAATGCTTCCCAGAAAATTCTAAAGAGTGCTTTCGGTTTGCATTTTGCACACCCAGTTATTTTGAATTTCTTCCTATGAGTCACAATTATTTGCTTCCATCGTATGGCTAGAAAAACAGATTTAGGAGGGGATGAGTGTTCAAATTTAGATCCATCTCAGGGCCTTCTTTGGGTATAGGCTTTTTATTCACTTAGCTTTCTGAGGGCTTAATTAATCTTGGATACTATGTGCTATCTTATCTCTAGATTTGGTGCTTCCAGATGTGAGTTATCAGGTGGAATCCAGTGAAAGTGGTCAGACTCAACATATGGACCCTCAAGGACAAACTTTGCTGCTTTTTCTCTTTGTGGATTTTCACAGTGGATTTTCAGTCGAGCAAAAGGAACTCTGGGGTAGGTATAGGAGAAAGGGGCTAACCGCTTGGAGAGCTTAAATGTTAAGAGGATGAAGAAAGGGAGCCAGGGAAATATTTTAGAGTATGGAGCACATGTTTGGCCTGCAGGAGCCCTAGGTTAGATCTAGGTTAGATCCCCAGCACCACATGGTCTTCCAAGCACCAAACCAGGAGTACCCTCAGCACCATCATTGTGACTCCAAAAATAAGAGAAAGAGAGAGAGCATGGGAGAATAAATAAAGGGATACTTGTTATGATGTATACATATGAATTAAATATATTTCTGTAGAAAAAAAAGTCAGTGAAGGGGAAAGAGAGATAGCGGGTAGGGTGCTCCTCTTGTATGGAGCCGACCCAGGTTCGATCACCGGCATCACATATGGCTCTCCAAGAATCAGTAGGAGTAATTCCTGAGTGCAGAGACAGAGCAACCCCTGAGTATTGCCAGATATGGCCCAGAAACAACAAATCAGTGAAATTTTTGCTTACATAGCTTAATTATATGCTCTATAGAAAAGACCTCTCTGTCTCTCTCCCACTCTCTCTCTCTCTATCCTTCCCTCTCTTTCTCTCCCTCCCTCCCCCAGAACCTGAACATGCATGAGCTTTACTCCTGATCCACCATCCTAGGTGCCCAACATCTGTTTTTGGTGCATCATTAAAGGATGATAGTACAAGATTCACTTGGTCAGAAATCAGTAAACACTTCCTTGATAGAAATGTATCTTCTAGAGTGGGGTAGAATGAGTATTGTCTCAGATGGGTGACTCCTGGGAACCTCCTAAAATGTGTAGAGCTTATAAGGATTCGGGTATCAATGTTTTTATTGTTATTCTGTTATGTTCTTTAATTTTTGGGGGTTTTTTTTGGCTTTTGGACCACATCTAGAGGTGCTCAAGGATTGCTCCTTGAGTGATCTCTGCCTCTGCGCTCAGGGATCACTCCTAATGGGGCTCAGAGGACCATCTGGGGTTCCAGAGATTGAACTTGGGTTGGCTATGTCCAAGGCAAGCACCCTACCGTTGCTTTCTTATGTTTTGGGGACACTCCCTGTGGTGCCTAGGGAAGAGGAATGGGGGTCTACACCCAGCATAGAACTTAAGGACTGTGCTTGGTGCAGTGCTGGGTAGCAACTCACAGTGGTCCTTAGGGACCTTGCAGTGCTGGGGATGCAGCCTGGGCCTGCACATACAGAGCATGCACTCGGGCCCTTTGAATCGTCTCCCCAACCTCTGAGTGTGTTTTTGAAAGCTTCTCAGTAATACTGATGTGTATTTGAGCTTGAGAACTGGTCAGTGTCCTTCTGCCTTCCCAGGGGAAGCTAAGAAATGTAATCAGCCATACTTGACTTCGCTGCAGCGTGCCATGATGCACCTTGAGCACAGCATGAAGAGATGTTTGGATGTGATGGTTTTATGTGATGCTCACATCTGGAAAGGGAGACATTGTCCTCATTCAGGCCTACAGGGGGGCACATTTGATATTTACCTAACAGATGATGAGTACGTATTAGCTGAAAGGTTCTATTAGAGGTAAAGCAGTGGTTTCACGGCTTTGTGCTCCACAATATACATGCATCAGAATTATCAGGAATATTCGAAAATGTGTTGAACTAAATAGAAGCCCATTATGCATTAGTAAATGTAGAAATACCAGCGCAAGAGAGATTGTGCAGCAGGTAGGGTGCTTGCCTTGCATGTAGCCAACATGAATTCAATTCCTGGCATCACATATGATCTCTCAAGCCCACTAGGAGTGATTCCTGAGTGCAGAGCCAAGAGTAACCCCTGAGCATTACCAGATGTGGCCCAACTCCCCCCAAACAAACAAAACAATTAGAGAGAGAAAATTGAGAGAGAGAGAAGAGAGAGAGAGAGAGAGAGAGAGAGAGAGAGAGAGAACGAGCACTCAGTGGGCAATAGCGCATGCTTTATAGCTTTACATAAAGGAGGCCTGACACTGCATGTAGTCAAACATTGCTACCAGCAACCCCTGAGCACAGCTCAGAGTAGTCCCTGAGGAATGCTAGGTGTTGCCCATAAACAATTAAAAAAGATAAATTAAAAAGTTAAATAAATCATATACCTGATATTTTAGGACTAGCCTGAGATACACAGTGAGGGAAGGTGGCTGTGGAAAGATGGATGAAGATAGATAATTTCTCTTCTCTTTTCTTCCTTCTCCTATCCTTGAAAGCCTTCTCTAGAGCTCCCAGGAAACAGATTGTACAGAACTACAGCCTGTTACCATGTGTCTTTAAAAAAACCACTTCATTGGCCTTCTGCCCACCTTGTCATGGTAACTTTCTATGATTAACTTGTTATTTTGCCACAACCATAAAAGCATCTGGTGGTATCATCAGTTTTAGGAACAAACTTGTAGCTTTTAAATTAAATGTCTGATTTCAGAAGGGGCCTAACTTATTTCTTGAGACTATTCTTAGGCCCAAATTATAGAAAATGATAATCTGAATCATACCACAGTAATAGTACCTTCCCTCTGAATATTGCAACATACATTTCAGGCCCATTTCAGCATGCTTTTCTATGGCCCTAGTTTATTTGCACAGCATCCCTGAGAAAGCACAGGTTATAAAGCCATTTCTGGTGCTGAAGTGAGAAAGGTGAAGTGACTTGGGCACTGCTAGTTGGGAATGGAATTGATCTGGAATCTGTTTTCCTGACTCCAGTTCCAAACTCTTTCTGAATTGCCACATGACCATCTACCTTTCAGAAAAGCATAGTACTTCACAATAGGAAATATTCTTTCTGCCTTAAAGCTACCCTAAGAAAAGCCAGCGAGCTTTTGACTGTTTTTCATGATAATACCAATGAACAGACTCTCCAGGGAGGAGAACCCATAAAAAAGAAATACTGATTCAGACACATTTTATTCAGGTGGCTTATGGGGTGAATCGGTTGTCATGATACTGTGGGATCAGGCTCATCTACACTGGCCTGTTGTCTAACATTTTATCTTGCCCATTACTCTCGTGGTTTGATTTTTCTGAGTCCTGCCGAGTGGGGCAGATTATGGTTAATGATGAGAGAGTCCCGATTTACCAGGATTGTGTACCAGAAATTTTTAGTCATCTTTGTAAGCTTTGCTTTTTCTGTGCCATAGCATCTCTGGAAGGATTGACGGGCTGCCAGGGACAGTGACTGCCACAGTCAGCGCCATATTGCTCTTAGGAATGTGCAGGGGCTGGATAGACATAACCCCCCTCCCCGCTCCAGGGCATCCCCTCCCCTCCTCTCCTACTTGGGAGGCAACAGTATCACTTTATAAGATGTGATGTCTATTTTTGTTTCTGAGAGGTGTTCAACAGGATCTCTAACTGGTTTCTTCAAAAAAGAATGTTACTCCTCCTTTTAAATTTCTTAAAATTTCTTTCAGTTGTAAGTGGGAAGTGGGCGAGTTTAAAAGTTGTTAGGGGATCTTCCCCCTCTATAAAAGTACCTATTTGTGGATAGGCAGAAGTGGCCTCATGCCTGTTCCCAGTCCTGACACAGGAACGGCCATCTTGAAGTGGCACCCATATTCTCCCTCTCGTAGGCGTCCACACTTGGCTCACAACTCACCTCAGCAGGATCCTCATGGAGAGCCGCGGTGCAGTGCAGAATTCCCTCCAGCTCACCGTGGACTGCACCCTGGAGCAGCATCGCCTGGCTACCAAGGTGAGTGGGTGCTCACAGCCCTTCTGTTCCCTAAGGGAAAGGTGGCTCAAGTGTGGCACAGGACTGGGAGTTGTGAGGCCCTGGGTTCAATTCCTGTTACCACACCCCCCCCCCCAATTAAAAAAAAAAAAGAGGAAATGAAGACTATCATAGCTAAACTACATAGCAGGCAGGGTCTGACCCCCTTCCCTCTGGAATGCCTCTTCCTTGTGTCTTGTCACTAGGCTAGTCTTATTACTGCACCTGGCCTAGGAACTCATGGTCTCATCTGGGTCCCTGTAACTAGTTTGCTTAGTTTTACTGGATACTGGGTGAGCTTTCAGTAAATAGGGATAAAACCAAAAGTCAGTGAAAAATGACTGATGATGTACCTTTTTCTTACTATACATGTCTCCTCCCCACACGCCTGAAGCTACTGCTTCACTAACCTGCCTCCTTACCCCTCCCTCAACCCCCCCCCACACACACACACACGCAGACACCTGCTCCCCACAGTTTGGGAGATCAGACTCAGGTCAGAGTGATAGTAGAGCGGGTAAGGAACTTGCCTTGTATGTGACTCACCCGAGTTCGATCCCCCTCACCCCATTATGGTCCCCAAACAACGCCAGGAGTGATCCTTAAGCCTAGAATAACCCCTGAGCATTGCCAGGTGTGCCCCAAAACAAAAACAAAAGCGGCAAGAACAAATGAATTCCTCATGCAAGCCAGGCATGGGCTTCACCCCTGAGCCACATCCCTTGTCCTGCCCTAACTAACTCTTAGATTAGTCCCTCTTCCCTACTCCTTTATAATGCCACGGTCACAGTCCTCCCGTTGTTCATCGATTTGCTCGAGCAGGCCCAGTAACGTCTCCATCATGAGACTTGTTACTGTGTTTGGCATATCGAATATGTCACGGGTAGCTTGCCAGGCTCTGCTGTGCGGGCGAGATACTCTCGGTAGCTTGCCGGACTCTCTGAGAGGGACAGAGGAATCGAACTCGGGTCGGCCATTTTGGCCGCTTGTAAGGCAAACGCCCTACCGCTGTGCTATTGCTTCAGCCATTTATAATGCCATTTTCTCTTATTATGTGACCTTATGAATTCTTCATCCTGTTTAATTTGGGAATTGTTCCTTATTTCACATTTCCCACTTTCGAGGTGGGGGAATCCACACTGAAGGAGCAGAGCATAAATCATTTTGTTTCTAGATAAATGTGTTGGTTTTCTTGCCCAGCGTCTTATTTCTTGTCTTTTCTGGTATGTATCTGTGCTGTCAGCTCTCTGACAGGGAAGAACGTTTTGCTGTCAATCCCTAAGTATTCTCTACATACTATGATCTCAGTAAGAGTTGTTGGATGGGGAGGAATTCCTGAGGTTCTGCTCTGACTGAAATCTTTGGTTCCTTTGGAAGTCTCTGACCCAGCTGTATGTGATTATTAGCAACTTTAGTTCCCTCCCCCCACGCCCCCCGCTATCCCCTAGGCTCATCAGACACTGCAGACCTCCCTCTCGGTGGCTGTGAATTCCATCTTGCGCATCGTGACTGAGAGCACCAGCAGCAGCTTTCGAAACATCTGTCTCCAGACTCTGCAAGTTAGTAAGATACTGGCTATGCTCAGTATGACTTCTTCTGTTTCTCTGGGTGATGTGTACTGGGATTGTAGAAACGGTAATTCATTTGATCCTGCTATGGTTCTGCAGAGTACCAGGCCTGTGGTAATAATTCTAAGAAATGATCAGAGGGTCGGAGAGATAATACAGGGATTAAGGTGCTTGCCATACACACAGCTGGTCCTGATTCAATTTCTGGCATCACAATTAGTCCCCCAAGCACAGAGCTAGGAATAATCCCTAAGCACCACTTGATGTGATCCCTCCCCCCCAAGCCAACCAACGAAACAAACATGCGAAAGAAATAAATATTCGTTGTGGACTAGAGAGATAGTAAGGGCTTGCCTTGCATAAAGACATATGGTCCCCCAAGAGACCTCTAAGCACAGAGTCAGGAGTAAGCCCTGAGCTCTACTGGGTGTCTCCAAGACCCTCTTCTCCCACAAAAGGAAATATTTGTGAGTAGTGATATAGGTATTATTCCATAAATTAGAAAAATGTAAGATTTTTAATTCAGTCCACACAGCTAGTTACAAACAGAGCTGGAATTAGATCAATGACTTCCAGTTCCTTGATGAAAAATGTTCCGTTACCTCAAGGTGACAGAATACATTGGGAATAACCAAACTATAATACTACATGCACTGTAGCACTGTCCTCCCGTTGTTGATTGATTTGCTCGAGCGGGCCCAGTAACTTCTCCGTTGTGAGACTTTGTTGTTACTGTGTTTGGCATATCGAATACATTACGGGGAGCTTGCCAGGCTTTGCTGTGCGGGCGGGATACTCTCGGTAGCTTGCCTGGGCTCTCTGAGAGGGGCGGAGGAATTGAATTCAGGTCCGCCGTGTGCAAGGCAAATGCCCTACCCGCTGTGCTATATGGAGTGGCTTTATAAGTTTTGTTTTCTCTTTGTTTGGGGGCCATATCTATTGGTACTCAGGGATAACTGCTGGCTTTATGCTTAGAGATCACTCCTGGTGGGCTTGGGGGACCCTATGGTGTGCCAGTGATTAAATCCAAGTCAGCTATATGCAAGGCAAGCACCCTGCCCATTGTGCTATATCTCCAGCCCCAACAAATTTTGAAAGTATAAGCTGAAGTTCAAATTTCATCTCATTTACTAACTGAATCCATGGACTCAGGCCTGTGTTCAGTTTCTCTGAGCTTCATCAGTTCATATTGGAGAAGGTCACAGAGTCACTCTGTGTTGTTTTTGTTTTTTTGTTTTTTGGGTCACACCCGGCGATGCTCAGGGGTTACTCCTGGCTCATGCATTCAGGAATTACTCCTGGTGGTGCTCAGGGGACCATATGGGATACTGGGAATCGAACCTGGGTCGGCCACATGGAAGGCAAACGCCCTACCCACTGTGCTATCGCTCCAGCCCCCCACAGGGTTAGTCTGAATGTAAGAGCTAAGTGTGGAACTGCAGAGTACCTGGAGAATCTCAGTGAAGGTGAATGTTTTTCCTTCATTTTAGGAATATGTGTTGGTATTGTCAGAGTGGTAACATGTTTATTCCAGGTTGGCTGATTCCTTTTGGGGCACATTTTTCTTGAAAAGACAGTACAAAATACAAATTTAAATGGTAATAAACTTTGCCACTATAATTCAAATTTTTGTATATTATCTCTTACCTCTTATTTATATAGTTATAATCAAGTTATTCTATTTTCATACACAATTTGATGCTTCCCTCTACTTCAGTAGTCTTAGAATTTGTATTACTAGATATTTTACTGTTAATCTAATTTAATAAACCATTCCACCAGTGTTTATATATATATATTTTTACCAATATAGTGCTTCACTAGTAGGTTTTTATAATGCCGTTATATGAATATCCTGCATGGAGGGGGTGGGAGTTATTTACCAGTAAATTTCTTTAAGTAGGGTTACTGGGCTAAAGCTAGAACATCTTTATCATCTAGTGCATTTTTTCATAGCTTTAACTTTCTGGAGTGTGTGGATAGCACGGTATATGAGAAGATGCCGTCTGAGTGTCTGGGGGTGGGCTACTAGGCCCCCTTGGTCGGGGAATATCAGTTTCTCACCTGTAAAATTAGTGTGTTATATTAGGTGATTACTCTTGTCCTCTTTAATATAAAAATATGACTCTACAATTTTATGCTATGTATGTAAACAGTGTTATTTTGTTTTTCTCCCCTGCCTCTCCCCCCTTCCCCCCAAAAAAACCTTGACTTATCTGAGGTAAAGTTTTTGTATCAGCCTTAATTATTGACTGATCCTCTGTTGTCTTAGAACTTGTCTTAGAGGAAAATGTTTCCTTCAGAGACAGTGCAACTCTGGGAGAGTTACCTCCTATAGAGATTGGACAGAGATCTTGTTGGAAGGATCTCGCTTAGGTAACAGCAATGGGAAGAGCCACTACTACCCATCTCAGACCAAGTGTCCCAAGACTCCTTCATTCTTCTGAGCCTAGGAAACTCCTCACACAATGTGAGGATGTCAGTGGTTTGCCCTCCTACTCATCTCTTCACATACAAAAATCTCTTCACATTCAATGGGTGTTCCCCCTTGGTCTCAGTACTAGGACTCAGCACATTCTGTCTCTGGCCCATTTAGGCTACTGACACACAGGAGTTTGGGACCAAACTGGACAAAGCATTTCATGAGATCATCCTGCACCACTTTCTTCCCCACTCCTCATGTGAAGTGAAACAGGTGAGTGTAAATTCATAATCAGTTTTCAGATGGAAATATTCCCCATTGGTGGGATACAGGATGCATAGATCATGGTGCTTCAGATTGTACAGTCTGGGGTTAGCCTTTCAGTCAAGAAGCCTGTGGTTAAAAAAAAAAAACTTTCTAGAACATATTGCATAGCGGTTAAGAGCATAGTTAAATGTTTGCCAATAACTAGCTGTATGGTATGTATTATTGCAGAAGTGATTTAGTCTCATGATTCTCAACCTTTTTATTCCTGAAGACTGCACTGGCCCTTGAATCCGCAATTGAAAACCATTGATTTAACTTTTTTGTTTTGTTTTGTTTGTTTGTTTTGCTCTGGGGCCACACCTGGTGATGTTCAGGAATTGCTCAGTAATTCCTGGCTCTGCACTCAGCAATTAATCCTGGCAGTGCTGGAACCATGGGATACCAGTGATGGAACCCAGGTCAGCTGCATGCATGGCAAATGCCCTACCCTCTGTACTATCCCACCAGCCCCTTGATTTTACTTTTTAAAAATTTCTGCCTATTTATCCATCTGGGCTGGAGCGATAGCACAGCGGTAGGGCGTTCGCCTTACAAGCGGCCAACATGGCCGACCCGAGTTCGATTCCTCCGCCCCTCTCGGAGAGCCCGGCAAGCTACTGAGAGTATCTCGCCTGCACGGCAGAGCCTGGCAAGCTCCCCGTGACGTATTCGATATGCCAAACACAGTAACAACAAAGTCTCCAATGGAGACGTTACTGGGCCCGCTCGAGCAAATCGACGATCAACGGGAGGGCCTTTACCTTTACCTTATCCATCTATTTTTAATTGAATCACAGTGAGATACACAGTTGCAAGGTTGTTCATGATTGGGTTTCAATCATTTGATTCTCTACCACCAATGTCCTCAGTTTCCTTCCTGCCCCCTCCCATCCTTATGGCAGGAACTTTTCTTCTCTCTCTCTCTCTCTCTCTCTCGCTCTCTCTCTCTCTCGCTCTCTCTCTCTCTCATCTTCCTCCTTTGGGCATTATGGCTTGTAATACAGATACGGAAAGGTTGTCACGTATATCCCTTTTACCTATGTTATGATTTCACTTTTTAAGCCAGAGTTTCTTTTTTCCAGTGGGGGGAAGATGGCATGTCATTGTCAAGCTATCCGTTGCAATAAATGTTCCATTCTGGTGGGGGAGTCTGTGCATGTGTGGGGGCAGGTGGTATATGGAAAATCTCTGTACCTTCTGCTCAGTTTTGCTACGAACATATAATGCTCTAGAGAAAAGTCTGTTAAATAGTCAACCCAAAAGAAAGCAGAAAAGAAGAAAATGAAGAAGAGGGAACAAGGAACATATGAGCAGAGAGAAAATTAGCAAGATGATATATTTAAACCCAGTCATCAACTATAATATTAAATATTAATGGTTTAAGCCAGTGTTTCTCAACCTTTTCCAGATCACGGAAAAGATCCTTTCCACCTCGTTTTCCTTCCTATGGCTCCTGTCCTTCCAGTTGCCCCCTAGCTTGTGCCATGGCCCCCTGCTTATGCAGCTTTCACCTATGCCCTCTTGTAATATCTGGTGACAGGTGGGGCCATATGGCTGGTCCAAGCAACACAATTAAAAGACAGATTGTTGGGTTGGATAAAGAAGCAAGAGTTGTTAGCAGGGGTGTGGAAGAATGCAAACTCTTTCATTTTTGTATAAAATAGTACAACTACTTTTTAGAAAACAGTTTTTTAAAAAGTTAAATATAGGAGTTGGAGGGATAATGTCAGGGTTAAGGTGCTTGCCTTGCATGCGACTAATTCAGGTTTGCTTCCCGGCACAGCATATGGTCCCCTAAGCACCACCAGGAATGATCACAGAGCCAGGAGTAAACCCTGAGCACCACCAGGGTCCCAAACCAAGTTAAATATACTTGATCATACAACCTAGCCATCTGTTCCTACACACATACCTAAGGGAAATGAATGCATATGTCCACGTAAAAATGAATATGATAGGACTGTAGGAAGTACGGCAGCTAAGGCACTTACCTTGCATGTTGCCAACCCTGGTTTGAATTCTGGTACCACATATGGTCCCCCAAGCACCACCAGCACCACCACTCCTGAGCACAGTCAGTAATAATCCCTAAGCACCGCTGTGTGTGCCCCCTCACGCTAATGGTCATTGCCATTAATTGTAAGCTAAAAACTGGAAGCAATCCACTGTGAACAGGTGAATGGAAAAAGACATACTATTCTTCAGTAAAAGGAATGAACAGAAGGAGCAGTATAACAGGATGCGTTAATAAGATGAGTCCATACAAGATGTATTTTCTAATTAGTCATGCTGAATGAGAAAGAGAACGCAGGAATTCGAGAGTAAATATTCTTTGTTTCAATTATGTAAAATTCTATTAAATGTCAACTATAGTTATAGATTTTTGGTGTTTTAAAGATGGGTCATACAGGAATTAGTGTGATTCTGAAGGACAGGCAGAGAAAGCAGGCAGAGAGTGATGGATATATTCATTGTCTTGATTGTCACTTAAATCAAATCACTTAACTTCCCGTTAGTCGTCGATTTGCTCGAGCGGGCGCCAGTAACGTCTCCATTTGTCCCTGTCGCGTGCTAGTGTAGCCCAATGGCATCTCTTCGCTCCGGGAACATGGAGGGCCTCAAACCGATCGTTCATGATCTTGACAAAGAAGTCTGACCATCTGGTAGGTGGGCGGCCACGCGGTCTCTTGACATCCCGTGGAATCCAATCAGTAACAGCTCTAGTCCAGCGGTCGTCTTTAAATCTCATTACGTGACCAGCCCATCTGATTTTCGACACCTTGGCAAATGAGACAGCGTCCCTGATTCTTGATCGTCGACGGATGTCAGAACTCCGGATTCGTTCTCTCATTTGAGTGAAACGTGATATTCCAAGCATAGCTCTTTCTATTCTTCTTTGGGAGACCTGAATGGCGTTCTCGTCTTGATTGTGTTGATGATTTTTTTTTTGCGGAGCTGGCGACTCACTGACAGTTCTCAGTCAGCTGGCCCGAGGGTCCAATTCAATGCGTGGGCCTCAGGGTGTGGTGCTGCTGGTGCCCTGAGATGCTGAGGTCCGCCTTGGCAATGCTCGGACCTCCAGTGGCATGCTTAGGGGCCTCTCGGGTGCAGCTAGAGGTGCTCCAGAGCCCACGTGGTGCCCTAGCGCCTGTTCTATCCCTGCAGCCCCTGTGGTGGTGATTTTACAGCCATGGGCATATGCCAGAGCTTAATGATTTGTTCTATTAAGTAGCCCTCTGTTCACATATGTTTATTGTGTGTAAGTTATGTCAAATTTTTATTTAAAAATTGCTGTGGTTCTGCTGCATCATCTCTCCTTTTCCTACTTTCTCATGCCTGATTGGGTGGGGAGGTTGAGGTACCAGGTACCCACAGATGCATTTACTCAACTTCTCTGGAAAGGCAGAGGGCATTGGGGAACCCCTGTAAGTGTTCTCTTTACCACATATTTCTATGGTTCTACCTGATTTCTAGAAGCATCTTCTAGGAGCATAGGTGCTGTTCCTTTCAACTCATTCCCCACCAACTTAGAGAGCTGCTGCTCACAACAAATAGGAGCAAATAGGAGGTGATGCCTTTCTCATCATTTCCTGTGGTTGTGGTAACAAATGACCACACACACTCAGCACCTCACAGTTCTTAGAGTTCAGAAGTTCAAAGTTAGGTGTTGACAAGTCCTGCTTCCTCCCAGAGCTTCAGCAGCTCAAGATGTTCCTTAACTTGTACACACATTACTCCAGCCTCCTCCTTTCTCTTCAGTAGCCCTCTGCCTTTCTAAGGACCCCTAGTCCTTTACTGAGGACCCCCTTTAAATCCACAGTGATCTGATCTTGAGAGCTTTAATTGCATCTTCCTAGGTCCCTTTCTAAAAACATTCAGAGGTTTTAGGGATAAGATGTGGACATATTTGGGAGCAGGGGTGGCCCATTCCATTCTTGGTAGCATCCACATCTCCATTTTTCTAGGAACAGATTCAAGGTCAAGTAGGAGCCATTATCACAGCACTGAGGTTGAAGGTTAGGTCCCAGCAGTGTCTGAGGCTTTGAAGTCCTTTGCTTGTGCCTGCCTGTTGTCCCAGTGAGAGCGCAGAAAGGAATGGGCTGACTTTCGCTGCCCTGTTCTGTTGCTGTGGTAAGGGTCACAGCCTCAGTTATAGCCCAGTCAACCTGGCAGGTGGCTAGTGAACTCAACATCTTACCCAGAGACCTGAGCCTAGGAAAAAAAAATGGATTGAATTCCTCTTTAGCACCAAGACCTCCACATTCCGGGTTGGCAGGAGGTAGCGAGGGGCGGTCCTCACAGTGCTTGGGGGCCCCCAGAGCTATCCACATTGCTGCCCAGAGGCATGTGATGCTGGGACTGTAGCCCAGGCCTCACACGTGCAAGGCACGTGCTCTGTCGTTTGAGCCACATTCCTGGCCCTAAATTCCTACTTTGATTTTTATAAGCATCCTTTGAGGTAGGTTGTAGCAGTCCCCTTTTATGGATAGAAGAAACTGGCTAGAGGTTTTCTCTGATTTGCCTTAATCTCAGCCAGTCAGTGGCAAGGCTGAGCCTTGCTCTGCACCTCCGAGCACGGGAGCAGGGCTACCACGTAAGAGCTCTGTTTCAGTCCTGAGCAGAACCCAGGCTTCTACACTTCCGGCCTGGCTGTGGGCTTCTGATAACCACCATTTCGTGGAAAAGAAACTTGTTAGTGGCACAAGAGTGGCACCTAGTGTTGCAGCTAAAAACTGCAAGATCAATCTTTCACCTCTGGCGTCCATCAATAAAGCAGGACAGATGCCTCATCTTTTGAGTAATGCAGAATAAAACCACATTGAAAGTGATTGTGTAGAGAAAAGCAAGGAATTAGAGAATATGTATTTCGAGTCTTACGGGATAGATTAACGAAAAGATGGCTACTGGTGGTAAAAATTTTAAGCCAGGTTGCTGGAATAGTATTGTAGGCCATGAAGGAGTAAGCTAAAGGATCAGGGTCACCAAGGTAGTGGAGACTTGCAGGCAGGAGTGTCACAGGGAGGCAGTCTTCTGGGGGAAAGGACTGTTTCCCCGGCAGAGATCTGAATGAAACGTCCTTTGGAATGTTAAATCTAGGGAGCCTCTAGGTGGCTGAAGGGAAGAGCACATGTCTTTATTTATTTTTTTTCCCACCATACTGTCAGTGAGTTTCCCTCCCCGAGCAGAGCTCCGGCAGCTGAAGACCTCCAGAACCAGCCACAACCATGCTGAGACCACTCTCCACACGCATGAAGGTACCAGCAGAGGAACAAAAGCATGCGGGTCCCAGGGCTGAGATCTCCAAGCCTGCTCAGATCGGGGCTGAGCATCCTCCACCCAGATCCTCCGAATTCCAGTAGGCGGGGGTCACACCCACCAACTGGCCCCCTGGCACTGTGTAATCCCATCAACCGCCAAGACCCAGAGACTATAAAACCCAGTTCCCGGAAGCGCGCGGCCGTGACATCTTATTATCTCATTCTTACTTTGGACAACCTGGCAGGCTACCGAATATAACCTGCCCACACGGCAGAGTCTGGCAAACTCCCCGTGGCGTACCCAATATGCCAAATGCCAGTACCAATGATGGGTCTCATTCTCCCAAACCTGAAAGAGCCTTGAATATGGCACTTTTTAAAATCTCTGGACTAGGATGAAGGAGACGTTACTGGGGTCTGCTCGAGGCAATTGATGAACAACAGGATGATCGTGATCGAGATCATGACTATCAGTGAGAGTTCCATGAATATAGTGTTCCAACCCTCACCCTCCACCAGAGTGACCAATGTCCATTTCCCTTCACCATTGTCTCAGGGTCCCCTACCTGAGATCATCCCCCACCCCGTGGCTTCCCCGGCTGTGGGGGTGGTGGGCTGGGAAGCTCAATTCTATAGAGCACTTCTCAGTTCTGTTGACTCTGGCCGTTTGTTATTCTCAGACCATGCTCCTTTATATTGCACTTATGAGAAAGATTGTTCTTTTTTTGTTTTGTTTTGTTTTGTTTGTGGGATTTGGCCATAGTTTGATGATGCTCAGGGTTACTCTTTGGCTCTGGCCCTCAGGATCGCTCGTGGAGCTGCTTGGGGAACCCTGTGGGATGCCGAGCTGGGTCAGCGGTGTGCAAGGCAAATGCTTTACCGCTTGTACTGTTGCTCTGGTCCAGAGAGAGATCATTCTGTCTGTCCTTTTCCCTTTTGACTAACTTCACTTAGCATGAAACTCTCTAGCTCCACCCATGAACTACTGAATTGGGCTGAAGCGATAGCACAGTGGGTAAGGCGGGGTAAGGTGTTTGCCTTGCACTCAGCCAACCCGGTCCGCCCAGGTTTGATTCCTCTGCCCCTCTCAGAGAGACAGCAGGCTACCGAGAGTATCTCGCGGCAGGGCAAAGCCTGGCAAGCTCCCTGTGACTTATTCCATATGCCAAACACAGTAACAAGTCTCACAATGGAGATGTTTCTGGGCCCACTCGAACAAATCTGAACAACGGGAGGACAGTGCTACAGTGCATTTTATAGTCGATTAGTAACTGGTTGT